TGGGGGGGGGGGGGGGGCTGTTTCTCAATCTCACATGCAGGGCAACGATCCGTGGACGAATCTACTACTGGGATATGAGAGAGACAGAAAGATAAACAAAACTGATTGGCCAGAATACCATTTTGTAGTTCTGCTACATCTTTATTGCCATGCTTACAATTACATTTCTGAAAAATGTAACTTGTGAAATCATAAAAGATAAGAAAAGGTGCTGCCCTGATATGAAGGAAATAAAAAGTAAAACTGTAAAAAAACACAATTTTTTAAATGTTTTATGAAAACTGCAGGTACATCCCATTAAATAACCAGCAATCATTCTCTTGAAAAAGAGTGAAAAATCCAAGGAGAGCTAACCATAAAATTTATGTAACGGTAAACATGTACAGCCAGAATAATGATTTATTTGGTATAAATAATTATAATGACTGTTAACCCATGCTCTCTGTGGCAGGGTCCTGTGTACCAGAGTTATAACGTGCAGCCCCAGCTGCAGTACCAGCACGCCCCCCAACAGTTCGCAGCCTCCAGTTATGCACCGAAGCCCTTCCAGCCCAAGACCATGAGTTCATCCCTCAACAACAACCTGTCCGAGCTGGACTCTCTCCTGGCTGATCTGAACGCAGCCCAGGGGTCTGGGGACCTCAACAGTGCAGGTAAGGCATTGTAACATCTTCCTTCCACAATTCTTCAGGTATGGTGGTTTTGCTTTGTACTACAGTATGTGCAAGATATATTGTACAGTGTATCATCATATATCATCATATGGAAGAAATTCAGTGCTGAGATTGTAGGAAAATTGATGAATGGTATAGAAAGATGGTCAGCAAATTAGCATCACGTCAAAAAAAAATGCAGGTGCCATGGCACTGCCTCCTAGTACTAGTCTATTAGTTACTTTTTTTCTGAAGTAGGTTGTACATTGTAAAGGAGCAACCCTTTGGAGAAAAAAAGCAATACAGGCTTCCAAGTTCCAACAAGACTATGGGACCTGACTCGTTCTTGTTTGGAAAAGAAAAAAGCCACAAATCTTCAAGTCGACTTAAGAGGGGACCTATGTTTCCTCAGTAGACCACGAGAAGGCTATATTAGTACAGAAGTGTCTGAAGACTTGAACTCGGTGGCTTAAACTGCTGATCTTAGTCTGCATTTCGCATTTCTGCCTAGCCTAGCAGCTTGTACATAACGACAGCAGTCTGCTTCTTTGCTTTACGGTCTTCTCTTGTTCTGTGTCTTGCCCTTCCTTCCCTCTGGAAGACATCTATCGTAAGATAATCATTGCCTCCTCCTTATGCACTGCCACCTTCTTGGACCCAGCCTTTAAAGGAAGGGAAAGGCCAGCAGCGAAAGAAGGTACGGCTCTCACATGTGCCGTTATTCTTTCATAAGGCTTGTAGTTTTCAGCAGCACAGTCTAGATCTATCTCTTTCTTTTCTTTTTGCCCTGTCGCTTTTAAACATGTACCTTTGAAACAAACTCAAAAATTGTTTTCAAAAATTGACCTGGCCAAGAAGAAACACAAACAGGACTCTTCACAGACACACAGTTACACACAAGCATGACATGCTGTATTTCTCTCACTGAGTCTCAGGTTCAATTCATTCTGGGGCAATGGCTGATCTTCATTGCAATTCCTGCATCAGCCATGTGATTGTCAAAATGTACAATGCCTATTGATGGTACAGGTATAACGTATCAAATGTACAACAATCTGGTGGGCCAGAGAATTACAGACAAAACACATTTTGTCATTTATGTGGGGGTACATGTATCTTCATCTCTCCCATTTTCTCTAGGGAACTGCCACACTAGTCTTATTATCAAGCAGTTCCTTTCTCTTTCGAAAGATACTACTCATTTTCATTGTATCATTTCTTAGGTGTTAGTGATAGCACCTGTTACCTTGAAATTTTTTAGAGCTTTTGAGGTCTTGTTTCAGGAAAAATGTGTACAACATATAATAGAATACAATAATAGAAATCTTACTGTGACACATGTATAGGCAATAGTGAATACTGTTTATGAATGGTCTGGATTTACACAATATGAAAGTCAGAAATATCACATTAGAATATCCCCAATACTACAGTATATATCTCTTTTTTTCTATTTCACTAACATTAAAACCAGGTTTAGGTTTAATCATGTAGCATATATTTCTTCTACATTTGCTAACTTCGCTTCCATCAATCGCTCCATAATTACTAACAGTATGATCCAAATTTTATATCAATGTCTTCTGTACTAATTTAGTTTGTTCTCCTCCGTTCAGCAGGAAGCTTACATGTGTCCACCTCCCCTCCCCACGGCTCCCCGGCCAACAACAAGAAGATCCCTCCGCCCGTGAAGGCCAAGCCAAAGAAGGGGATCTCTGACATCAGGCCTGACGTGGACAGTCTGCTGGATGAGCTGCAGAACGCAGTTCCAACAGGAGCAAAGTAAGATCAGCAGTATAATGGAAGTTTATCTGTGTTGGTAGTTATCATAGTACAATGCTGAACTAACTATTTGAACACAAAGGTACACAGGGATGAAAATTTTGACAGTGGTCATTGAAAATTTGATACATGTGTAGTCATCTTATATTTTTGTACATGTACTAAAAAATCTGGTCTTTGTGGACAGGCATATTTAAGTTGCAGACTTTGCTGTGAAAAGGTTTATAAACTTTCGATGGCTAGCTGGCAAGGCGGCAATAAGTGAATTGTTTGTTCCTCTATTTTATCTCAATAATTGTCTACTTTTCACACAAAGTTCAAGGAGGATAGAAGCGGAAAGGAAAAAAGAAATGCTAGCAATAATACTAACTTCAGTTGTTGTCCAACTGTTTCAGTTCTCCCGGCCAGAGAGCGTCACCGTACAACGACCACGCTCCCCAGCCGCACGCCGCGGTGATTTCCCAGGCTCCCCCGCAGCACGCCGCACCCTCGCCGGTCTCCTCCGGGAGCCAGGCCTCCCCCCGGCCTCGCACCGCCTCCTCCGCTACCAAGGAGCTGGACGACCTGATGGCATCCCTGTCTGACTTCAGGATGCAGAGTACTCAAGTCACACATGTACAGGTAGATATCATCTTCTGATTTATGGCATACATTGGCTGTGATATCATATTTTTTGATATCATGGTGTTCTGGCCTGTGCGATAACTAAGGTTATCAAATGGGGTTCTATTTGGTTATCACATGAGTTTCCGAGTTAGTGTTCGAATAATTCGAACAAATTTACATTAGGCAAGCCATAGGAGCTGCAACGTTGGTGTCAACTCCTGGGAGCAACTCCCCATGACAGAGCTCTTAAAAATTATTGTAGCTCAGCAGATACAAGAAGGTAACATTAGCATTACATTTGTCAGACACTGTAAAAATTTCAGCATGTGTTTTTCCCTCCAGCCTCAGCCCATGCCTGCAGCTCCTGCTGTAGTTGAGGATGCCTACGCAACCCCCAACAAGGCCCGGAGCCCCACTTCCCCCAGCCCTGGGGGTGGGGGGGACTCCCTACCCCGGGGGAGCCAGCTGGACACCATGCTGTCCAACCTGCAGTCAGACATGTCCAGACAGGGTGTGCAGACCGTACAGAAGGGCCAGTGTGCAGCCTGCAGCAAGCCTATTGTCGGACAGGTTTGTTTGCTCGAGCCTTTGTTTATTCGTGAAATAATCTTACTTGAGGTCATGAGGGAAGAGATCAGGGTCAGGCAAAATATAACAGCCTAGAAATCCTACCAAGTTATTGTAGTAGTGTACAATGTAGCTTCATGTACTCACAGTGACAAATACATGTACCTTAATACCTTGATACCCTCCCTAGCAGGCTCTACAACTAGGCTTTTTAGTATGCCCTGTTACAGTGAAACCTAAAGTAGTGACCACCTCTATTAGGACACCCCGGACAATATGATCTCTTTTTGGTGATCCTTTAGACAATTAGGTATTCCCATTGTTATACATGTACATGTAAGCGGTAGGAATGCTGTCTGCAGTGACCACTTGTCCAGACCCCTGTATCAAACCCCTATGTGGTCTTCTTAGATACTGTACAGTTTATTATTTACCAGTTTTAATCCTATTTTGTTCCCTCAGATTGTCACAGCCCTCGGCAGGACATGGCACCCTGAACACTTCACCTGCAAGAACTGCAACGGGGAGTTGGGCACCAAGAACTTCTTTGAGAGAGACGGGACCCCCTTCTGTGAGGAGTGTTACCACAACCTGTTCTCCCCCAGATGTGGCTACTGTAATGGACCCATCCTAGATGTAAGTGCTCTGGACTGTTCCATTAGAAGAGCTTTTAGGGGGAAGATGAGACATCAACTTATGTGGAAGTGTTTTTCATAGATGACTTCTAAACCAGTGCATACATGTAGGTAGTCCCATAGCTTTTTTGATGCTGTAAGGGCAGTGGGTTTCTATTCACTGTGTCAACGAAAGGCATGGTATTGGAAGGCGTAACCCATCCCTCTACCACCTTTTACACAAAAATATACTTTCCCAACCAAAGTCAGGTTCCCATTTTACACCTGGGTGGAGTGGGGAAAGTCATGGAAAAACCTTTCTCAAGTGTACAAGATTGGTGATATGGCAGGATTTGAACCAAAAACCTCTGGCTCCTGAACACCCTTTCCGGTGCATACTAAAACATGTATGTGAGAATCACACCTCTTTTTCTTCCCCAGAAATGTGTGACTGCGCTGGAGAACACCTGGCACCCTGAACACTTCTTCTGCAACCAGTGCGGCCGCCCCTTCGGCCAGGAGGGCTTCCACGAGAAGGACGGGAAGGCGTACTGTTACGAGGACTACTTCGACATGTTTGCTCCCAAGTGCGGGGGCTGCAACAAGGCCATCGTGGATAACTACATCTCCGCACTGAACGGCCACTGGCATCCAGGCTGCTTCGTGTGCAGGGTGAGCATTATTGCTCCGTCTTTTTCTTACCACAGAAAGACATATTTTTTTGTATCGTTCTGTCAAATCATGATGATTAAAGAGTCTTACCCATACCTAGTTATCTTGATGAAAGGCTTTGGCTTTGGAACAGTTAAACTGAGATTTTGATAAGCATAAACTAAACTGGGGTCGTGTGGCGCAGTCGGTAGCGCGTTCGGCTCACACCCCAGAGGTTGTGGGTTCGAACCCCACCTTGTCACCGATCTTGTGCCCTTGGGAAAGGCACTTTACACGATTTTCCTCACTTCACTCAGGTGTAAATGAGTACCTAGCTTCGGCTAGGGACGTCCCTCGGATAGGACGTAAACTGGAGGTCCCGTGTTTGAGGAGAGCCACACCTCGAGCACGTTAAAGATCCCACCACACCTTTCGAAAAAGAGTAGGGGCATGCCCCGGTGTGCGATGGTACAAACACTACTGTATGGAGTTGGTGATTCACTTCAAATCACCCGGACGGAGGCCTGGCGACCTCCGTCATGTATATGCCACATGGTGATTTACATCATTCACCCGGACGGAGGCCTGGCGAACCCCGTCTGTATCAGCCAAATCTTGGAGAGGAGATAGGCGCCGCCAAGATTATAAGCCTGAGGAGTCATCGTGACAAGTCCAGACATGCTGCTGGCTGTCATGATGCCCCTACGGCCGTGAAGGCTATGGGACTTACATACATACATACATACATAAACTAAACTGCAATGGTGTAAAGCAATAGTCATTTATTTGTCTTCATGAATGTGCTGTGATATGAAAATACTATTGTTGCTTTACGGTTTCTTTATGGCTACATTTTTCATTTACTTTTAGCTCAGACAATGGCCAATGTTCAAAAAGGCCGTAAACACTATATTGTATGAAAGGCCAAGAGGTTTATTTTTTTATTTTTCTGTTCTGAATTAGGAATGCCTACAACCCTTCCACGGCGGCAGTTTCTTCGACCATGACGGACAGCCGTACTGCGAGATCCACTACCACGCCAAGCGCGGCTCGCTCTGCTCGGGATGTCAGAAGCCGATCACCGGACGCTGTATCACCGCCATGTCCAAAAAGTTCCACCCTGAACACTTCGTCTGCGCTTTCTGTTTGAAGCAGTTGAACAAAGGAACATTTAAAGAGCAGAATGACAAACCCTATTGTCATCCCTGCTTTGTAAAACTGTTTGGTTAGACTAATGTTGGACGGTAGGACAGGGTTGTATCGTTGTTAAAAGAACAACAAACAGAGATGGTTAGATAGTATGTACTGAGTTAGAATATAGTCTGGAGCATTAACCAATCAGACTGCTGCTTATTGCAAATTGAGCCCTATCTAACCCGTGATTGGCTACTTAATATCCAATCAGCAAAGAGGAAACATTGCTACTATCAGCCGATGAGAGAGATTATTTTCAAACATGTATATTTTAGGTACAATTTTGCTTGATTCAAAATATGAAATTCTGCATAATCTAATTTTTGTTTAGGCCAATAATTTCCATGATGACTATTTCAATCCAAATAGGGTATAAATTTTGAAACATAGAATTTAAAATGACAAGAGAAGATGTTCAGGAAAACATATACAGGGAATTGAATAGAAGAAAAAAAAGATTTAAAAAAAGACACAAATATTTATAAGGATGGGTTGAACCATGCAGTGTTGAAAGGGGGTTACCAAACGTTTGATAGGATATATTCTTTCTTGTCTTTTTGTAGTTGTTAAGGTTAAGGACCTGGAACAATCTATTTCTTCTTGAGGGGTGTATGCTGTGTGGTGAGTTTGGGGAGATGGCTTGTTCTTACAATTCTTAAGGAAATATTCCTCCAAAGTCTAAAAGCATTTTGATTGGTTAACATGGTAGTTTAGGAGTACTCTTTGACTAAAACCTCTGCTCCAAAAGAAGACCAGAGCTTCAATTCCTATTAAGCTTACCGATGCAGACAAATACAGTGTACATTTGCAGTTGTTTTTGTTCTGCCTTGTTGGAAATCCAACTATGTCTGATTTGCCTTTGAAGCTCCATCCTCATGGTCTCAACCAACTTCACACAAATAAACCTCACTGTATAATATATAACTGCCTACTTTACAAGAGATATCACTGATAATAAGTAAAGAATGATTTCCTACATGTACCGTACCACAGAGCATTCAGAGTAAAGTTAAGACAAAAGGTACTGTAGAGGCACTTTGACTTATTAAATGTTCATTGCATCTTATTCATTTATTCAATGACATACATTTATACTCTAACATTAGCCAGTGTTACATATTGTGTATGGCCACTACAATTTGTTAGGTAAATGCTTCTTAGGATACCGTACTTACCCACATATCAGGTTTATTACAATTGCTAAAAAGTGTATTAATTTGGCTGTCAGTAACATCTCTATCTATAAACTTTGACTGTATGCTTCGTAATGCGAATCACGCGAGTATTACGCCTTATTTCTAAGTATGATAATAAATCTATAGGAGAAATGTGTACAAGGTTGCATTATATATGTATGTATCATTTTGGTTGCTTGGTTTGTTGGCTATTTATGTTGTATAAAAATCCTTTTTCCCAATATAGTTTATTGTGAATAATTCCAACTAAATGTGGTAGGGTCTTAGCATTTAGTTGCATGGTGGGTTGTATTCATGTGTATACTGAGAGTGAAGTGGTACAAGGAACAGCCATATTATGATCAGTTAGCTGACATCAGTTTAATTGCCGATGCTTAGTTTAAAAAGAAATAGCAAAACCTTGCAAAATAACATGAAAATAGGGCCTGATTTGAAAGACTGTACCCTGGTACACAGTTTCTGGTAGATACTATTGTCAAATACAAGTTCATACTCCTCCCAATTTTCAGCTTGGCCACTTGCATAATTCTTATTCTGTAATGTCTGAAAAGCTAGAAAACAAACTGAGGTGGCCAAACTTTTGTCAAAGTATCATCAGTGTTACATGTATGCTGTGTAGCTGAGGTATAATTGGGATAGAGTTATGCATACTGTTAATCAACATACACGATAAGTATGGTGTTCTCCACGCTATTTTTATGACAACTTCCATGTGTAAGAAGCAGGTGTGAGTGTATGAAATGTGGTATCTTGCAGCCATGTTGGAATTAGAGGAAGAACATACATTTTTGTAGCAAGAGCACTTACTTAACTGATATGACATCTGATCCGTATTTTATACCTTCAAAATGGTGATTTCTGAATTTCTTGTTGGTATACATGAGTGTGTGCATACTGACTGTTGTCCTCTGGTATACATGTAGCTGTTGTGATGGTTGTGTTAATTCTTACAATTGAATCAAGATTCCACACGTACTGTTTAAGAGCATATTACAATGACAATATGAATATCTGTCTTCTATACTGTTCACTAGCTTCAACTCACAGAAAGATAACCATCATGCTGTCACCTGCCACTTATATTGATTAGTTCTGCATTGACACTGGGACAGTTAATTAATCTCAAAGTTTGTTTCCTTTCATGCGTGGCTTCCATAGTTAGCAAGAAGAAGATCATTCTGCCATAATTGTACTTGTAATTTTATTGAGGCCTGAGTAAAGGAAATGACATGTTGTATTCTGTCATGATTTACATAATGTATGTGCTGTATGCCTGCTAGGATGCTGACTTTACTGTCTTATTCACTTGTCCCTCCACTCCAATCAGATCCCTTTCATTAAATCTATTCTGTTACATTTATAGACAATTTTGTTGGGCCTCTCATTTCATACACGACTTAATTTCTAGTTACAAAAGACATTAGACCACATAGGGTGTCAAATAATACTGGGTACTTTGTAATTAACTGCTTAAAATAATAGCAACAACATTGTCCATTAATGGTTTCTGTCAAAATAAAGTGTTACGGCCTTCAAACTAAAGCATTTCAATTCTTTCACCCTAACAGTCAACTGAAGTCATACATTTTGAAAAAAATCACTTCTCAAAAAAACAACAAGTACAGTATTTAAAAGGGCCTTCTCAACATGCTCAGCACATAACCACACTAACACGTCTTCTTCACACATAAGCCTTGAGGATTTCTTCTAGTTTCTGAAAGGCAGGTTTCTCATCCCCAGAGTTTGCCAAGTCCCGGAAACACTTCACTCTCTCCTCTTTTGACATCTTTCCACACGTGATAAAACGAACGCAGTGTTCCACCAGCCTTTCGCACCTGTGGTGTACAGCGTACAGGTACAGTTTCAACACACTTCCAGGTGATATGTACAATGTTTGCTGTAACATCACGTCTGCCATACTGTCCTGCAGCGTTGGCAGAAGGTACTTGTTAGCCACAGCCAAAATCTCAAGCTCTACCGGCTGTTGTGGCTGGCATGTCCCTACACTGCCCCCCTCCCCCTTGCAAACTATCTGCATTGCTGTACAGTTGTTATGCCGACAGCCATGTACAAAGTGTACAAGGTACAAAAACGCGTCGTGGGAAACACCCGTAATGTTGACCTCGCTCTGGGCAGATTCGGAGTAATGCCCTTCCAACATGGCAGCAAAGACGGCAGATTTCTCAGCTACGACTCTCCTACACCCTGAGACAGTAGTCTTGTCCTCCAGTCTGAAAACCACATCATGTCGGTCCGACAGCGTTACATAACTACACTCAGCTGCGCCTGACTGTATGTGAACAGACTCCACGGCTTTGGTCACATCACTAGTACTTCCTGACATCTCATCTTCTACAGTGTCTGTGTTGCAGTCCTCCTTTGAGTCAGATCCTTCTGCCTCCGTGTCCGAGTCATCCTGGTCCCTCTTGTCCCATCCTGACATCACCATGGTAACGCTATCCACAGCTAGGGACAGCAGGTCGTCTGTGCTGTTCTGAATGATGTCTACAAGACGCTGAAGTCCCCTCTCTTCAATCAGCATCTTTGTTCTCAGGGCTCGGCTCCTGGAAGGGACAGAAAGTAGAAAATTCTGTGAACTGATTGAGAAAACAGAAAATATTCAAATTCTGCAGGTTGATAGCACAAAGACTACAATTTCCAGAAATACAAGATCTAAAATAATCAAAAGAAAACACAGAATGGCATCCTGGAGTAAAATCTGGCAATAGAAGAGTGATAGGAAAATATGTACCACCACATTTTAGTATTTATGTACGTACATGTGTAAGGAAAAGGAGAGGGTTTGTGGATTTAATCTTGCTAGACCGTACTTTCCCATAAATTTCTTGCCCAGGGTTTTATTCATTTCTTTACTTCTATTCTTCAGAAATAGAAAAATAACTTGTACATGTAGGTTATACAGACCTGCAGAGATATGGCAGTGCCAGAGCACACGCAGTCCTCTCCACATCTGTGACTGCGGAAAGGAGGTGGGTTAGAATCCCGTTGCCATATGACGACTCCGCTTGCACACTCAGGTTCCTTAGGAGAGACAACCCAACACCGTACTGATGACTCTCCACCCTCCCATCTCCATTGTCTTCTTTTTTTTTTCTTGGTGTATCGCACACAGAACTTGACTCCTTCATGGCTTCTTGGTCTTCCTTGTCTTCAATGCTTGTGTTATCTGTGCCAACTGTTTCCCCCCTGTTCTCATCAGCTGTAACATTCTGGGTGCTGTTATGATGTTCGTGGTTGGATGCTGACATGAGAGTGTTGTGTATCTTATGCAGAGCGTGTGCCGTTATGAAGGCTTCGAAACAGTTGGGATTGCAGGTGAGGCGGTTTAGGATGCGTGTGCAGCGGGGGTTCGGGTGCGGGGCCGAGTGGATGTAGTCCACCAGTCCATTCACACACTGTTTGGTCACCAGGCAACCACTGGGATCTACCATTTGGGAGTATCTAGAGAGGAGGAGCAGGATGTTGTGCTCCATGTCTTTGGGCTCTTCCACTCTGATCACCAGGGGGGCACAGGATAGAGAGGAGGGATTCAACATGTGGTCTGTTGTTAAGGGAATGAGTCCAACAGGGCTGCCTGGTACTACGTCCCCCGTTAGGCTTTCATTGGTTTCTTCCCTTCTGACCCGTGCAACGGGGCTGCCATCTGGACTTCTGTTGCCTGGCTGAGTCCTGGGACCCGGGCTAGAGCTCGGACGCCGCCTCTTCCTGGGAGGACTAGACGGGGAGTATTCCCGGGATGCGTCTGTCCTGATAGGCTGAAACGTGGTTGACTCTGGACCGTCCTCTGAGACAGACACAGGAGAACAGGGAGGTTCCTGCATGCTGGTGTCTACAGATGTTGAAGGCTCCAGCCGTGCCGCCTCCTCAACACTTTCAGAGCTGCTCTCACTATCATCTTCTGTTTCCGGTAGTGTTTTGTCCTCCTCAGTCCAGTGAATCTGCGGGCTGAACACTCGTGGTGCGAGTTCCTCGTTTCCATCGCTTGAGTCGGAGCAGGACACTGTGCTGCTGGCTGGCGACCACTGCGGGCTGGCAGGCCCCGGACTGAGCTGGCCGAGCTCAGCGGAATACTCAGGCTGCTGCTGCAGCCAGGTCTGCATGCTCACAAAGCTGGAAGCCTTATTGGACGGTGTCAGGGGATCGGGGAAGCGGTTAAACTCTGTTGGGAAGTCGCAGGAGGCAGAAAACCAAGCAGACGAGGGGGCAGGCTTGCCAATTCCTTTGGATGATCCTTCCTCTGTAGATGAGACGTTAACACTGTCCAGTAATTTAGTCATCAACAGAGGAATAAGTCCCTCCCCTCGTAAGACCTCTAAGCTGGGCTCATCGTAGAAAAAGCAGAGGAAAGTCCCCACAAGTCTCTCATGGACATCTTTACAAGATGGAGACTTTAACAGAGAAACCAGAAGCTCGAGTCCTTTGAGTTCTCTGATTCTGAGCCTGTTGATAGCCTCCCTGCAGCACAAACATAAGGCATTCACCAAAGGTAAAACATTAGAGATGTTCTGACTGGCCTTTATCTCTTTCACAAAGACTTGTATCCCGCCTGCGTTTCCGATATCGGGCCTAACGCTGCCATGGGAAGCCAGGTTTACGAGCGAGAGTAGGGCTTGCTGCTTTATGACTGGTTTGACATGCGAGGCCAGTTCCACGAGCGAGGATATCCCTGTCCCCTCCGAGACTTGCCGCGCGCACTCGAAGGTGCAGTTCTTGGTCAGCTGGGTGACCGTCCTCACAGCTTGGGTCACAAGTGGGACGTCGTCCAGCTTCAACAGTTCCACCACAGCCTGGAGGCCTTCACAGCGTATCACCTCATCTCTGTGCTCCTCAGTGTCCACGAGGTTTCGGATAGCCCGGACTACACTCTGGCGACCCTCGCTGCTCTCCGTGCTGTTGAGAACGTCGATTAATGCGGGGATGCCCTTGAGACTGTGGATGACCTGGGCGTTGGTGGCATCTAGAGCGAGGTTGGCGATGGCTCTGGACGCTCGGTTCAGCAGGCTGTCTGATTTCAACACCTTCAGGAGGGTCACTAGGAAGGGAAAGGAAAATTATGCAAAGCTAAAGGTCTGAAAAGGCTTTTATCTTTAAGCAGATGTTGGGGTTGACATTGGATGTCCTTGGTCTGACAAGCACTGGGCAGGACGTCTGAAAACATGACACTCTTCCACCCAACATCTGCCTGAAGACTCATATATGAAAATGATTTTCTTCTGTGGTTTATCTCATTGAAAACATAAGGAAATGTATACTTCATTTATACTTTATTTATTTCAAACCTAGGTAGCCAGAGTATAACGTGATGGTTAACTAAGAATATGAGGGACCAGAAAATAAAATATGACCCACAACCCCTCGGTTCTACAATAGAACATTCCTAAATGTTGGTGTTTGTTTCCACAATCAATACACAGCACTTTAGCAGGTAACATTATACTGCTCAGTTACTTCTTTTAGCACTCCGATCATCCATGTCATTTCAAAGCAAAAGTTCCTCAAAGACACCTGTAATGCCCAGAGAACTTGTTTTTCACACTGACAACCTTAAACCCCCCGCAAAACGTGGTACAGCCTGCCTAATGTATGCATTTAGATTTTCCCGTCTAAATAAGGATATAGCTAATGGACATATTTGGCATAGGAAGGTTCGATTCATAAAAAGGGGAGGATATAAAATTGATGTCTCACCTAGTGGTGCCAGTCCTCTTGTTTTCCGCACCTTAGGTTAAAACAACATAATTGTGATTGTAAGAAATAGTAATTGCTAATTACAGTTGTGTAAATTGAGACAAATAAGGACCTAAAATAAAGACATAAAATACCTCACGCCTTGTCTCCCCCTCCATACAACAGTTGGCCAGGATGCTGAGAGCTACGTCAGCAATCTTCGGGTTAGGCCGCTGAATTAGCGAAATTAACGCCTGAATCCCACCCAATTCGCGAAATTTAGACACCCCGCCTTCCCTTTTTATACATTCCGTCCGAATCTTGACCAGAGAATTGTAGACAGCGTGGTTTGTGCCCCTTTTTAGTTGCCAAATCGCTTGCGAGACGGGGTCATTTTCGACCGTCGCCATCTTGGATCTTCTTGGCACTGTTCGGGCGATACCATTTCAAGATTTTAGGGATACTCTTTAGCCAAGACACTCAAGCCTCCTTTGTATAAAATGCTGATGCCCGTGGTCCCTGTATTGCAACTAACTTTCAGACCGTATACTTTTATCAAGTTTTACGGAAAGCGCAAGTATTTCTTGTAAAAATATAATAACACTAACTAGATTGCTATTGATAGATATATCAAAAGCGCCACACTGAAAACTTTGTATGTATTGCAGTCATAGTTACAGGTGAAACTGGTAACTTACACCCTCCCAAGCAGGGTCAGTGGGGTAGGCTCTTTTGGGCCGCGCCACTGACCCTGCTCGGGAGGGTGTATGTACTTAAGCTTCTTATGCATCCGATTATTGTACAACAAGCAGAGTTCCCTGTACTTACATACCATATCTTTCTATCATAACACTCTGGTATGAGGCTATGGTAACCCACATCACACAGATTCTGAATCTTCTTGTCAAATAAAACTGTATTTAAACTACTTCAAAAAGCAATATACATGTATGATGAATTGTTTATTCCTTCTACAAAGTTTTTTTTACAGAATCACTGATTATGGAGGCATTAAAAATGTGACAATAAAGTTTTCTAATCCATCTCTACATGAGGTTTTTTTTATGCTTAAAGTTACAAATATCATAAGCTTTCAGTAGGTAATCTTCTTAAAATAAACAATAGACATCTTCAGTACTACAGGTATATGTCTAGTTGAAGTCCATCTTTCACTTTAATAGTCAAGGAAATGGGGTTCTTTTTGGTTGGTCAGTGGTTTTGCAGGAACAAAGGGATACCTTTTTACAAGTTGAGCTTGGTGGCCACCTAGAACTAGGCCTTCTAAAAGACATCATGTAGAATTGCAAATTCAGACCTCTTTGTTCTGTTACAATGTCATACTTGAACTTTTTCAGTCACCTACTTTTCTCAGTGAATGGAAGTGATGCGTGAAATGGAACAGAACATTGTAATGATACAATATCACTTAAAAGGGGCAGTATGTGGACATCACTTTAATATTTAAGACAAATTCTCCAAAAACAACGTTGCACAAAGAGGGCAGAATAGACTCAAAGATATCTTGAGTTACAAAGTATGAGCTGAGACATTGAACAGTTTCCTTATCATCTATTCTTCTGTCAGTCTTAAGTTCTGCTCCTGCTCTACTTCTTCCTTCCTCCTCTCTCCTTCAGTGCCAGTTGGATGGTTGCTCCGTGGGTCATGTTGTAGAAAGCCAGGGTGTTGGAGTCCTTAATAAAGATACCCTGCAGAACACAAACAATAACATGACTGTCACTACCTTCCTCTCTTGTGAGGAAAAGGTACATGTAACTTAGCAAAAGTGTGAAGATTTTGATCAAAACTTTTATCATGGTTGATACATGTGTACGTCAGTGAAGGTTAGACATCCAGGTAATAAGATACAAAGATTTTGGAAATCATACCCAGTTGCTTGAGTAACTATTTTTTGGCGTGATACATGTGTAGTTTTTAGTTCCTTTGTCATGTTTTCTTTGCCAATGCTTTCATGGCAGTAAGGGAATGTACAGCTTAACAAATAAACATTTAACAATGATGCCCTATACAAAAAGTCTATTCCAGCTATAGTCGCATGGTTGCATCACACTTGCCACAAGTGTATTTGGGCAGAGATAAAGTCTTACCTCATACTGTAGCTTCTGTTTCCCAGCAGGCATTGCCAGAGCCTCGTGGATCTTAGCCTTGATAACAGACACCTGAGGAAAAAAACACGAGATAGTTTCAAGTTTTGTCAGTGTCAACATCTTCATTCTTCCAGATACAAGGCAGAAAAGTCGAGATTCAAGTAAATTATCAGCTTCATTTACTTAGCCTGGGTGCCAGACTGTTGCAAGGGCTGGTAGCCTGGTACACAGGCTAGCTCATGGCTTCAGAGCTAACATGTCCCCTGGGGACAGTCTGGCATCCAGATCACATTTAGTAGTCATTTTCATCATAGTACATCAAAGGATTGTCAAAAAATGTTAGTCCAAGTTTCAGTCTTCAAATCTATCAAAGTTAGACTCACGGTGTCTGTGACCGGCAGGGTGAAGGTCAGGGTCTGTCCGTTCAGGTTCCACTCGCTCTTGTCGTCCATCTTGGGCACAATGACCTTGAACGTGACAGGACCCTTGTTCCTCTTCAGGAACTCCTCTTCCGACACCAGCGTGTCCTCTGTCTTCTGTTTCTTGGCTGCCGGCTCCTCTG